AAAAAAAAAAAAAAAAACCAATCTGATCACACAAAAGCACTGTAAAATATGTTTTTGCACAAACTGTTAGTCTAAGAAGCATGTTCAAACCAAGTGTAGTCAAATGCAGCATACCAGTAATAGTATGTCTAATGGCATGTTATACTATGTCTTTGTTATAATAAATAAAAATACTTTCATGAAATATCCATAGCAGGCTGCTAGATCCGTGCTGCTGCTGTCATGCAAAACTAAAGAACTAAATCATTTAAGGATCAGTTAATCATCAGCACGTATGCCCCTCCCACCAACTTACCTGTTAACCCACCTACTTTACCCCCAATCAAGTACCCCGCCAATTTCACTGAGCCACCCACCACCCATCTACTCTTTCCTTCCGCCCACCAACCCCACACCCCCCCTATACTGATGCACCCCCTCACCCACCAACATCCAACGGATGGCTCTCAAAAATGCACACTGATTGTACATCACGACAGCCCCACTATGACAGCACTTTACAGATATTTCATGAAAGAATAAGTTTGCAGTACTACACAACTAGCAATCCAGCACCAACCAAGCTGAGAGTTTGGCTATGTGTGCATTCCACAGCAGAAGCATAAGTGTCTCAATATCTTATAATTATAGGTGTCTATACAAAATTAACATGGGACTGCAGTCTCAAAACAAAGTTTTTAAAATGACCCCAACAAAAGGAATAATGTGAGACAAATAAACTGACAGGTGTCTGTTTTGTTTTATACTATGAAGGTAAGAAATCTGTTGCTTTATTAAAACAGATAGCAGATCATTGAAAATACATTGAGCAAATTTCTTGCCAGGGGTCTGTTTAACAAAATGCCTCTAGTTTTGGGAGTTAGATAAGACTGCCAACAACAGAAAGCTGACATCATAATGTATTTCAGCATTTTCTATATAATGGCCAAAACTGACTGTCACCAATGAGAGTAAAATTCATTGTCAAGACAAGTATATGGATTAATTTAGTGGTTTTTCTACCAGCTAATTTTATCATTAGTCATTTTGCGAAACAGGCCCAAAGTTTTTAATCTCATTGAACATTTAAATGCAGGAGAAAGTGTGTTCTATGTTTCATATGTGACTTATGCACCGGTAATTATATTTGCTACCACAAATTCTATAGCACAGCACCTACTATTAACTTAAAGATACAATTATTCTACATTCAAAATTTATAAATTTAAAAAGGTACATTCACAAACAACAAAAACTAAAAACAATAAATGGGTAATGACAGTTCTTTACAGCAGATAAAATCAAGAAACAGAAAATGCACTGATTTCAAAATAAAATCCAATTGATAATTTTTGCCCCTTTTCATTCCTGGTCTCTGAAAATGCATCCAAAACCAACACAATACAAAATCACAATACTTGCAACATATCACAAGCTGCTGTCAAGGTAACAAACAAAATACACTGATATAGCATTCCATGGTTGTCAACTACAAGTAAGTATCATGGTTTTTCCTATTGATATGAAGATTTCTCTGGTAGTTCTCATACACCAAATGCGCAGCAGCCGATCCCGCATTCTTTTCCCTTAAAAAGAAAGAGAAAAGGCAAATAGCAAACTACAGGAGCAACCCAAACAAAGCCACAGGGGGTANCATAGCACAGCAGTGCAACAAGCCAAATTTAGAAACACACATTGGACTTCTACATGAATGCTATGAAAACTAGACACAAAAAATATTTGGTAATATTTGTATATAGTAAGATAACTATAGGAAAGAAGTCATATCTGCATTTTTTTCTCTGAAATAAGCATGAAAAAAATTAAGACAACTGTTTAAATCTTGAATATCTGTTACACTATACTATTCAAATGGTACCACTAGTCATCACATAACGCATTAGCAAAAAACCCAATCTGATCACACAAAAGCACTGTAAAATATGTTTTTGCACAAACTGTTAGTCTAAGAAGCAGGTTCAAACCAGGTCTAGTCAAATGCAGCATTCGGTAATGGTGTGTCTAATGGCATGTTATGCTACATCTTTGTTATAATAAATAAATAAAAATACTTTCATGAAATATCTATAGCGGGCTGCTAGATCCGTGCTGATGCCGTCATGCAAAACTAAAGAACTATAAATCATTTAAGGATCAGTTAATCATCAGCACGTATGCCCCTCCCACCAACTTACCTGTTAACCCACCTACTTTCCCCCCCCAATCAAGTACCCCACCAATTTCACTGAGCCACCCACCAACCACCCACCCACTATCCAGATACTGCCAGGGGTGGATCCAGAGATATTTTCTGACAGTCTTCTAAATTATTAAATTTGTTGATCCATGCTCCATTTTTGACCGTCTTCTGACAACAAAAATTAGATACCCCGTCAGTGTAAACTTGAAAATCTGACCATCTTCCTGAAGACCCAGAAGACAGCCTCAATCTGGCCCCATACTCTTCCCTTTCACCCACCAACCCTCTTACCCACACCCGCATACACCAATGTACCCCCACCCACCAGCATCCAATGGATGGCTCTCAAAAATGCACTCTGAATATAGTTCACGAAAGCTCTACCATGACAGCACTTTATAGATATTTCATGAAAGAATATGTTTGCAGTACTACACAACTAGCAATCCAGCACCAACCAAGCTGAGAGTTTGGCTATGTATGCATTCCACAGCAGAAGCATAAGTGTCCCAATATCTTATAATTATAGGTGTCTATACAAAATTAACATGGGACTGCAGTCTCAAAACAAATTTTTTAAAAATGACCCCAACAAAAGGAATAATGTGAGACAAATAAACTGACAGGTGTCTGTTTTGTGTTATATACTCTGAAGGTAAGAAACCTGTTGTTTTATGAAACTGATAGCAGATCATTGAAAATACATTGAGCAAATTTCTTGCCAGGGGTCTGTTTAACAAAATGTCTCTAGTTTTGGGAGTTAGATAAGACTGCCAACATCAGAAAGCTGACATAATGTATTTTAGCATTTTCTACATAATGGCCAAAATGGGCCATCACTAATGAGAGTAAAATTCATTGTCAAGACAAGTATATGGATTAATTTAGTGGTTTTTCTACCAGCTAATTTTATCGTTAGTCATTTTGTGAAACAGGCCCAAAGTTTTTAATCTCATTGAACATTTAAATGCAGGAGAAAGGGTGTTCTATGTTTCATATGTGACTTATGCACCGGTAATTATAATCGCTACCACAAACTCTATAGCACAGCACCTACTATTAACTTAAAGATACAATTATTCTACATTCAAAATTTATAAATTAAAAAGGTACATTCACAAACAACAAAAACTAAAAACAATAAATGGCTAATGACAGTTCTTCACAGCAGATAAAATCAATAAACAGAAAATGCACTGATTTCAAAATAAAATCCAATTGATAATTTTTGCCCCTTTTCATTCCTGGTCTCTGAAAATGCATTCAAAACCAACACAATACAAAATCACAATACTTGCAACATATCACAAGCCGCTGTCAAGGTAACAAACAAAATACACTGATATAGCATTCCATGGTTGTCAACTACAAGTAAGTATCATGGTTTTTCCTATTGATATGAAGATTTCTCTGGTAGTTCTCAAACACCAAATGCGCAGCAGCTGATCCCGCATTCTTTTCCCTTAAAAAGAAAGAGAAAAGGCAAATAGCAAACTACAGGAGCAACCCAAACAAAGCCACAGGGGGGAAACAAAGGTATGCTACAACACAAGGAAAGTATTTAAACACATGCACAACTATTTATAAATATATATGTGTAATATGGATAACCAAAAGACCAATTATGCATATTAGACTATGATAGGATGAATTAGTTTGCAAAACAAATCTAAACAAATATGATTGAGTATCATAAGCAGGGGAACTAAGGTATAAAATTCAAGGAAAATTCCCATCATGTTTTTCATGAAAAGTCCCAACTGTCCTCTTTAATAAATTGATAAATCATAATTATTGCTCTGCTCATGTAGTGGAAGCCCTACTGTCTTTTGAAATTTTCAGCTATTATTTCTACATTATCCACTTAAAATATATCAAACAAGATAAATTAAATGATATTTACAAAGAAGTTTTAGTTTAATAATTCAATGTGAAATAAGAAATATATAGTCCAAATGAGAATTCTAGTTTGTAATAAAGTTCCTGCTCATTTTAATGAATTTCATTATCTTTAAGAATAAAAAGCACCTTCTACAAGGCTTTGACATATTTCAACTGTTCATATTTTGGTTCCGTTTCAATAGCTTTCAACTGGTTTCTTAGTTACAACAAAATGTTCTTATAAACATCTGTTCCAAACAGGGTTAAAATCTAGCTCTACAAAGCAATTTTTAAGTGATTAAGAAAAGTACCATAAGATGTTAACACTAGCTCTGGTAACCAACTCCCACAATAGACATCAGTGATAGAAGAAAGGTAAAAGCAAGACAAGCCCACCACAAATTTGCACTCTCTGTTAAACTAACATCATCCAAGTGTCAATTAAGCAATATATATGAGCTTTCATATATGACAGGCAATACTGCTATAACTCCATTGCTAACATGCTTCTACATTCAGAAATAACTAAATGCTATGGAGACAAGTTTGTTAACTTTTATATTCCATCACACTTCATCATAAATGCTACACTATGAGTGAACTAATCTCGGGTATCTTTCCAGGAACAGATCTTCATATTTAGCTGGGAGATTCATCTTGTTTCTTCCAGAAGACCACAAAATTGTTTTTTTAAACCAGCAGCATTGACTAGGCATTGGGCTTAACTTGAAAACCTGACTAGGCCATTTATTCATCAAAATACATGCATACATATTCATAAATATCAAATTATAAGACTGGACTAGCAGCTTAACAAAAAACAAATTCATGCACAAATTTAAATGAACTGTTACATCTCACTTAAAAAGGATATGTTATCAACAATTCCAATCGCAAAATATTGATGCATCTATCAACAACTGTCCAAATGATGTTATAGTTTAGAAATATCAGCAAGAACAAAAATCTTCAATATATTTTAAGAAATCAGCAAATAAAAAATAAATAAGACAATTGCACAAAATACATAAGGGGCAATTATATGTAGTTTCTGAGAATAAAATGCATTCAAATAAATCATAACAGGTATGGTTTTCATCAAAATATATGCCATGTAACACAAACACTCATTGGTTTATAATCTTAATGCTTAGATGAACTTGGTAATCGTAATTAGCTTCTTTTTTATCTATGGGGAAATTGTTGCAAATCTTTTCTTTCCAGACATAAATAAATAAATAAATAACCATTTGCAAACTAGTTTTCATCAGAGTTAATTACTTACTGATATCAATCAGTAAGACTTTGCAAAAGTAATTTATGGCATATTTTCCTTCTATTAAAGTTAAAAAATGGAAATAAAAAAACTAATGAAAACCAATAACATTTGAGCATGTTTTGTCTCAAAATAATGACATAAATATTTGTAATAGTAAGTATTAAGTCCTAGACTTTAACAGAGGTTATTATTACTAGGATTGTGCACCTACTCAACTGATTGTCTGAAACAAAAAAAGCATGCTTCTATATGGAAAACTATGGCATAAATGTTGATATTGTTTTAACTAAAAGCCACAGAAGTCCCCTTGTGGTCGACATGAACCAGAATAATTTGGAAAACAAATGCAAACACATGCCTAACTACCATTAATTAAAACAACTTGATAATTTGAATGATAGTATAAATAATTACATGGAAAATAAACAATCTAAAAAAATTTGACTCCTCAACAGCTTTGAAACAAGATGTCAAAAAGAGAACGCTTTCTCTCAACTTGCAACATACTTGTACTGTGTTGTAAGCTTTCCAGCCAAAAAGATGGCTAAAACACAGAATGCATCATACCTCTAAGTCTAGTATGAGACCAGGGCTCCGTATCTCGAAAGGTTTGCTATGTTGCGCACGTGCGCAAGTGTCTCGATTCCATAACTGATTCTATTTCGTGCGGAAGTGTCTCGATTCTATAAGCGATTCTTTCCAGATACGGGGCCATGGAATCGAGACGCTTGCGCACGTGCGCAACATAGCTAACCTTTCGAGATACGGAGCCCAGTGCAATTATCATCTTAAAGCAGTTGGCTAAAACATAGGATGAATTACATGTGCAAATAATTGAAGTTGAATCAGATGGTGCTAATAAGAACTAGAGATTCAGAACCTAAAATTACAGATGACATGATCAACAATAAATGAAATTAAAAATCTGTGTAGATAATGTGAACCACAGTGAAACAGAACTTAGTAATGGGTTCTGGGCCAGCAGTAGTGGAAGCTTAGGCAATTACCATTACTGATGCCATAAGCAAAGCAGTTAATAATAAATTAGACAACAATCACCCCATCTTGAGTAACATAAGTCACCATTTTAAGACGTCCCTTATTATCAGACCAAGCTTCAATGGATTATATGTATTGCCTTAACAAAAATAATCACATAGAATGAGTTTTGAATTATTGTTATAACTGTTATCATTATTATTATTATAATGATGATGATTATCAATATTATGTGAAATTACTGGCCTATCCCAGGCAGGCAGTCAGTTAGTGTGTGTCTAATTCCCCCAAAAGCATTCCTCAGAACTCCACTTCGTTGCTATATATAGCAGCACGATAACTGTACCTATCAGAGAGACTCCTCTGTACAGGATGCCCTGTGGGGTGTAGGGGAGAGCCAGACAAAGCCACCAGTTTCAGAGGCGACAGACTGTGGCTGGGGGACTGGGTGGGTTCCTCCATCTCCCCTATTGCCATGTCAACCAGGGAGGACTCCAGCTCGGGGAATGACGCCATCTTGGACTTGAGGAGGTGAGCATAGGTTTGAAACCTTTCCAGCTGGAATGAAGAGAGATAGAGAGAGATGTGGTTAGAATCACATGTTTAACATTTCCGTCTTACTAGTGAATATCTGGTTCTTTAGGTATTTTGAGAGAGAGAAAATGCATAATAAGCATACTTCTCCAATGACTGGAATTCACAAAGAAAATCTACATATTCAGCCACTGGGAAGCTTTTTTTTATCTAGCAATCCAACAACACAGACATTTAATATCAAGTCAGGCACAAAACACAAAGTCAGTCACTAATCCTTTATTAAGAGTGTATTTGTATAAACACATAAAATATCCCCAGCACAAAATTCTTAATTATTGGTACTCCACTAGGATTTCTTTAACAAATATCCCATAATTTTATAACACCTGGACAACACTAAGGGTGCAGTAACTTGAGCTTAAACTACAAATGCACTAAATACAACAAAAAATGCGTATCTGTCTACAGTAAAAGCTTCTTTTTCAACTTTGCCGTTTTTCTACCATAATGGCATTACCTCAAAATGTAAATATTGTTCTTTTTCTTCATACTCCCTGATGATTCTCTCCTTGGCCCCCTTGCTGGGTGGGTATCTCTTATGTTCCTCCAGACTCTCCTGCAGTTCAACCACCTTAGACTCATGATGCTGAAGCTGCTGGGTCTGGAAACATAGAGCACAGAGTGAAATTATATTCTTTCATTCCTGAAATTAGTTACTTTCTCCTGGGCTAAAGGGGGCATAGTTTATTTAAGCCAAAAAATGTTGACACAAAGGAAAATATTTCAATTTTATGCAGAAATTATCACCGACTTATTAGCTCAATTTTCAAATTAAAATAAAAATTAATTTAACCAGCTATTTGGACGAAAGTTTGAGCCTAGTTCATGGATTGCCTAAAAGTGCTCTTAATTTTCTTATATTATAAAAACATCAAATACACAAATCTAAACATACCCTCCATTTTCCAGCATTAACAACAGGAACTAAATGTAGAGGCAAACAATGTCATACCAAATATTTCACATTATACCAAATACAAAGCACATCATAAATCATACCAAGTTAAGTCTAGTATATGATGAAGGTAAAAGTGGCCTTTGGAACTTTTTTTGTGAGCCTACTCCTCCCGGTAGTGGAGGGGCGGAAAGACTGGCAGCTACAAAGTTGATAGTGTCTATCCATCCCTGAAGTTCTGTGGGATCACTGTAGAGAGAAACACATAGAATATCATCACCATATATTTGTGAATATATCTTTAGGTTGTAATTAAGTGTAGAGGTTTCATCATTAGTTAAAATTAATGATAAAAAACAGATTTATATATTTATAAATAAAATATATTTATCTTTTATCTGTTCTTAATCGTTTCCTTTTCAGTGGGTCTTAAAAGGCTAAGTTATACAATAAAACATATACATGCATACTTCTTATAACAGTAAATTTGTCAATTTGTAAAACTAAAGAGAAGGTCATCTTCGGGGTTTAATAGATGTAATATCAGAATTCAAATAGAAGATTGCCATGATAATAAGATGAGTACCTAGATTGTAGTAGATAGACAGCCCACTCTGCTGTCCTCAGCCTGAGCACATGTTGTTTCTTGGTGTAATCCACTGCCTTAGTGGCCAGAGAATGGTGAATCCTCACCGCATGGTTCAGGTTCTCGTACAGGGAGTTCTTCTTGAAGCCATGTTCATCTTTGTGAAAGTAGAGCACCATGTCTCTCAGGGTAGCATAATACATCTTCCAGCCACGCTTGCCCAGTGGAGCTAAAACATACAGATTGTAAGAAGATCATTTTTTAAATCTTTGTTATTATTCTGTTATCATAGGGAGTATTTAACAAAGGTAAAAAAAAAAACAATTCTCATCACAATAATATTTGAGTATTATTTGCAAAATAATCTCAAAACATTAACATGTACTGACCAAAACTGCATGCTTGTGAAGTGAACATCACTACATTCCAAATGATCATATGATATATTTATGTATTACTCTTAGACACACACACACAACTTACTTTTCTTCCCATCAGGTTCTGTGCAGCACTTCCTCATCACATAGCCACGCTTGTACTCTGTGGCCTGACTGGGATCTGGAACCTAGATTTCAAAACAGATTTGATAATTAAATACAAGACCAAAAGAACACTTTTTAATTTCAGCAGTTATCTTATGTTAATTTCTCGATAATCTATAGATTGAATTTAATGTAATAAGAACTAACAGAAAATTGAGATCCACAAGTCTGAGTGACCAAAGTCATTAATTACTGTGCTTGCAAGTTTCATGCTAAGGTATGCTTTGTCACAAATCTTTATATAATGAGGTTATAATAATTAGCTTTTGGTTGCAACAAATTTTGAAATGATGAAATGGTTTGGTTAATAGAGGCCATATCCTACTTGTTAAATCAATTCATATAAACCAATAAAGCCCACAGACCAAGAAAAACAATCATGATGATGACAAATAAAGAATTTCTCTTCACAGTAATCAGGTTGGTTCACTTACATCTAAAAAGGGATTATGTCCTAGATTCACTCTCCTCGACTCTTCCAGCAGCAGATCAGTTTCTGAAGTTGCTTCTCCTTCCTCGTCACTGAAAGTAAAATTTAATTTAGTTATCTTAACATGGTGTTCCATGTCTCTCAGTAAAGTGAAAATTATTTCATTTATTAATTTTTTTGTGCTGTTAAGTACTTTAAGTAGACAACTAGGACCAGAAATAATAGTCTACAGTAAGGTCTTATACACCTTAGGTACACATGCTATGTGATTTTTACATCAAAATCTTTATTTGCCACAAAAAATTTTTTAATGGAAAATCAGACAACTTAAGTTGAAAAATTGTAATGATAAACTGAAAAGTAAGACTGAAAGATAATCTTTAACCATTGAATGTTCTAATTAATCACACTGGAAGTTTCTCTTACAGGGCCCATTCTAAGGGTCGACTCTTGATGGACAGATACAACGTCTTCAGTACGTCTCTGGGGAAGTTCTCTCCATCATTCAGCTCAGCCAGATTGTCGATAAATTCACCGCAAGTCATCCGTCTACCGATATTCTGTGAACATGAGAAATGAGATCCATTACAATGGCACACATAATATCCCTGTGATGAAAGTGAGTAGTTTGTATTTGGAGCTTTATTGACGTTTGTCTCACACAAGCTAATGATTGATCCCCTCGGTATGATGGATCACACACATTATAGGCAATGGGTGTGTAGATTAATTGGGAAAGCATTCAGTTTTGTTTTGTACTTGCATTGTGTGTAATGTACCACCTAAAGTTTCTTTTTTAATTATGTAAATTGATATTTCACACTCACACCACATCTTTCCAACAAAAAAGATGCATCTTAATAAAATGCAAAACAAGCTCATTAATTGCTAATTAAGCTGTTCTCACTCCAGTAATGGCTGGAACCTGAACCCACTAATTACGCATGTATGATATCATTAAGAGAGTAAGAAAACTCGGATATATCATTATTGAATTTTGTTGTTCTGCATCTGATGTTAGGAAGATGTTTCTTACCTGTCCATGTAAATCAGTATTTAAAAGCATTATTGCACAGGTAAGAGTGTGGCAGGCATCTGGAAAATAGAAAACATGCTATTAAAGATAATATTCCATTTGGTAGCATGCATATCCCCCTGATCAGATCAGATCAGATTAGATCAGTTCAGAAATAATTTTAAGCTTAATTCAAATTCATGAAGAATTTGTAGTAAACGATTCTGAAAGGTGATTGAATTTTTTGATCACTAATATTTAATCATGCTTATTTTTTCAATAAGAGATGCATTTAAATTTCCCTTTGTAAACAATGCAAAATTCCCAATACAATACTTAGCTGCACTAAATCAATCATGTCTTTTACAACATACAAAGTGGAAACCTACTGAAAAAGTATGTGAAGATCCCCACAGTGCCACAGGACATGTCACTGAACGTTTGAACCCTAACTTCATGCACATTTCATTAATTTGAGTTTCTCCTCTTGACATTAGACCAGACATTCAGTGGAGATGTTATTATTCAACAATGAAGATAAAATCAACCCATCTCTCAACTAGGGAACAATCAATATGGCAGTGGAACCAGTTGAGTTTTATAACTGATATCCATTACCTTCCGTGGTCCCAAGAAAACTTGACTGAAATCAGCTCATTTTATCAAAATAAAATATTTAAAAAATTTTCTAATCAACTGACTATTATTTAGGATAATAAATGCTTTGGTGGCAGTAATGCTAAATAGGTATTGAAATTAAGCCAGCAAGCATGATCCGCTCTTTTGTCCTTTGTATTCAGATTATCTGGGTTACACTCCATGTACCCACCTTCAGAGTTAAAGCTGTCTGGGTTGCACTCCATGTACCTCCTAGTGAAGTGGGCCAGGACCCTCTCCCTCTCCTGGGTCTCCCCAGTCAGACTAAACTGCTGGAGGAACTGGCGAAGGGCTACATCTAACGGGATGCCAACAAAGTCAAAGAATTTCAGATATTCCTCTGCAACTAACTGGCTAAAGTCATTTCTGTAATGGAAAAAATGTAGTTGTAGATATTTCAGGGTCCTTTTTTTCCAGAGTGGAATTAATGAATTCAAGTGCGAAATTTAAACAATTTGAGGAAAAATTGTTTTCTTCAAGTCATGGATCTAAAGTTCACTAAGCTTAACTTGATGAAAACAAACAGAAGGGGAGAAAGGGGGCTAACATTTAATAAGATCAACCACCTTTTTGCTGTTACCCCAAATTCAAAATTATTCTTACTTTAAGGCATTTAAATAATGTTAATATTTTAGCTATTGCGATCCACTTTACCATGGCATTCTAATCGCACCCCCCTGAAGCACTTTACCAACTACTACCTGGCCAATATATTGACAGTGGAGGGTGAGTCACGTACTGGTGACATTAGTCATTCAGGTACACTGCAAATACACTGCAGAGTTTCACACCGTTAAAAAAAGCTAGGCAATACAAATGTGTTGACTTTGTTAAGACTATGCAGGCTGCATTATGTTTAATCCTTTTTCTTGCCTGTTTTCCTTCCTGCTTATCAAAGCTGCAGTTCCGACTGTAAGATTCTACTTGGGCTACTTACTGTATACTACTTAATCTCCACAAGTAGCACATTAATTTTATGAATATCATATGGTTCTCCTTACCTGCTATAGACATATCCATTTCATAATGGCCTAAATATTAGACGTGGTTCAGATTTACATGTAGGTTAATGTTTTAGTAGTCCCAACTTCAGGAATTACTGGTTTTAGAAGCAACAACCAACCATGTAATCTCTTCAGTAATCTTGTGAGAGGTTGCACAAAATTAAATAAGTCATATGTTGGTGATACATTTAAAACCAAAATTTTAGTGTATTGGTCCAAAAATAAGTTGTTATCAGTCCACTTAAATGAGAATTGGGCTTGTTTTACAATAGGTTCAAAAATACCACTAACACATCTTTTATAACACCCAGAAGGTGGCCTACATGTTATATTCTAATCTGCTTCAGACACTTAACATTATGGCAGGCCCGTAGCCAGCAAATTGAAAAGGGGGGGTTCTTTTTCTGAAAAAGTGGACCTTTTATAATGAAAACTTTGTGTACCTAGATCAAATTGTACCCAGAATGGACCTTTTTCTGACCCCCCCCCCCCCCAGCTACGGGCCTGTTATAGGATCTATAATTTCTGCCACAGCATCAAAAAAGCCTATATATTATTCTATTAATGTAATTGTCTGTGCATGTACAACATGGTATAGCTATAATAGCTTCCATCAAACCGTGACAGTATAGAGTCTAGGTGGAATGCTGCTGCAAAGTCACAGTAAAGGGTAGATTAATCCCACTGCACAGTTTAAATGCAAAAATTGTAAAATATACAACTTTTAACCCGATTTACTAACAGACATATAATTGTTTTATTTGTCTGATATTGTTCTGGTCCCCTCCCAGCATATAATGGTCAAGTGACAGAGCAGAACAAGTGAATTCTATGTGTCATTACACTGACACTCCATATTATCCTTTTGTTATCATGCACCAGTTAGAGCCTGGCTTCTCAAGTGGGCTGTCATGGACTTTTAGTTAGCAGTATGCAGACAAAAACACTGTAAATACAGGGGCAATGAAATGCTGTGACAGTATTATACTGATTGCTTCCACTGATCCGGAATCAAGAATATGAACTAAGTCAATGAATAAATTGTTTTCAATTACAATCTTAATATTTTTTCTACAAAGCTCAAGTCACTTGAAGCAACTATTTCTTCCACAGTGCTTGTAAAAAAGTTCAGATCTATGTTAAATTACAGTCCTGTAAATTAGTAATACCTCTATTATCTCGCAGGGGGTTTATGCACATTTCTCTTTAAGAATAAGTATTTCTCTTTAAAGCAAAACAAGTTTTCTTTGGTAGGGGACCTTGTTTCAATTTTGTTAAACAGAATTTTTTTGGTTTTGTTTATTGTTAAGTACTTCCTGCAGTTTATTCATGCCATCTATATAACCAAGCTCAGGCCATTTTGAAGTCAATAAATCCCATGCCCTTAATCAAATAAGCTATACTGTGCTTATGCAATCTTCCATGGTGAGTTACACTTCAACTTGGATGAGTGAGACTAGAGCTCTTGCTCAAACAATGAATGTATGTAAACCTGACATTCCAATGCAACAAGAGTAAACAAAAATATTGGTTTGCGGTTTAAATGGTTCATTGAGTTTATGTGTGATAAGATGCCCTTACTGGGGGCACCTTTATCATCTCTATATAGATAAATATAATATCAAATAATGTGACTGGAGTTACTGGACCAAAGGGCACATGATCAATACAGATGCGTAATCTTTCTTAAATCCATGTAATTCTTTCTAATTCCATATCCACTCTATTTGGATGCAAATGAGGAGTACATGTTAAAATCAAGTTTGCAAAATCATTATTATGGTATTGAGTATATTGTGGTTTACAGCAGCAGAGACAATTGAAGATGTTTGTTTGATATAGAAAGAAAATGGAAGGTAGAAAAAGCAAGATGGACAGCTACTAGTACTCACTTCTTTCCTAAATGTTTTGCCACATCTGCCTTTTTGAAGCCTTCTAGATCATAGAGTCTCTTGGCTAATCTGTACGCAGATGGGTAATCTGCATTCTTTGTTGGTTGAAAGTACACATTATCTGAGTCCTCACTGCCTGAGGATACCACAGAGTCCGACCCTGGACTAAGGGGGCGGTCTGTTGGGAAGTCACTGCCTTTAGCACCGGTGGGAGGGCCAGTTTGACTCCTTGAGGGAGAACTATCATGGGTACTTTGTACGCACCCATCTACAGCATCACGTGAAGTCTCTATCTCATTGTAATCTCCATTCTTCGGCTCTATCACTGTAAGTTCCCTCTGAAGTTCCAACACTTGCTCCACATTATTGTCCATATTGTCATCTTGCTCAGTCAAGATGAGAGCACCTGCACCGTCCATGTCCCCATCATTGCTCCCTGTTGACCGGCTACTTGATTCCTCATCCTGGTCCTTATCATGTTCTCCTCCTCCCAAGGGGATGAATGCTGGAAGATCACGATCATGATCCTGTTTAGCTTGTGGACTATAGAGTTTATGTTCAGGAGAGCTCTCCACACTCCTAGACGTGGGGCTAGCAAGGTGCACACTGTCAGACTTATCGTCATAGTTCAAGACATCCACAGAAGATGCTTTATCATCTATATCTACAGAAACTAGCCTCAAATCAGAACTATCAAAACAGTTTTCCTGACTGCGAGTAGACCGCACCACAGGGATAGTTCTTGCACCATTAGGACTATAGTACCCTTTGTCACTGCTGGGACTAGACTGACTCTCTTTGACTGCATCAGTGATTTCAGAGTCCACTTTCGTTACTGGCTCTGCCTCTTTACTTGGAGAAGTCTTCACCTGCTTTGTAGGAGAAATAGTCTCAGTGTTCTTGACAGGGATACCAGACGGTGACCTCTGGGTTCTCTTCTGATCACCTGGACTCCTGGCCGAAAACACAGGAATTCCAGAGGGCTTAGTCCTCAAATCTAAAGGCTGCACCACTGGTTCTTCACCAGTCATTTTAAGGTCCATAGTCTTTGGATTGTCAATATGTACATGAGCAGGGCTTGGAATCTTCGACTGTCCCAGTTCTGGTTCTAATGCTGTGAGGTGGTCTGTGTGGCGGTGGGCTGGGCTGGGCAGTGTGTCAACAGACCCAGTATCAGAACTACTCTGATCTGTCGAATTAACGACAGATGGTGCTGGCAGTGGTGCAGGGAGGTCGTTCTGTGCTATCTTTTCACTCTTTTGTTTTGCTACCCTTCTCCCTTGACCGGAGGATCTGGTCACTGTGGAGCGCTGTATTGTAACTGCCGAGTCTTCTCTCTTCTGAGTCTGTCTCACAGGCAGTTTTGACGCTTTTTCATTCGATGACGTGCGGATTATCATATCTCCAGTCATGACGAATGTCTCAAACCGCTGTTGTTTCACAGGCACAGGTTCTTCATTGCGTCCACTGGGATTAGGGTTAGAGTAGCCATTGGACCCATGTAGACGGCCGTTCTTATCCAGAGAACTTGCAGACATGTTGTCAGCCTTTAAGCAAGCAGCATAATTTATTACAGCACTTTCATTTCATTTTCTTCAGCCTTTCTTGTTTAAGTGTTTTGTTTTTGTTTGTTCACTGCTTAAACTTTGCCCAGAAACCTTTTTTTAAGAAGAATCTGAAAGAACAGCAATAACAATAAATATTTGACAAATCAAACACAAATGCTTTTGTCCTTCTTCTTGAAAAAGAATTAAACAAATTGTCTTTCTTATCATTGTGCACTTACAATTGTTAATAATCAATGTTTACCAGAGCATGAAAAGTGTCTACAAGATGTTTGCTCAATAAAAGCAAGGAGAATGAATTGTTATTTTGACACATTCTCAACTTTTGCCCTTTGGGTTTAAAACTAAGTGAACTTATGCCATGTAATTGAAAAACAACCTGAAATGCCCTGAGAAAAAAAGCTATAGTCATTAAAATGCTATAACTCAATGTTATTATGTAAGGACTGGCAAAAATAAAATAAAATCACCCCAAAAATAAATAAATAAAAGGAAAAAGTCTGAATTAATAAGGAAACAAGTGATTAACACTGAATAATGAACCACTATGTGGCCACTTTCAGTGCTCATTACATTGACTTGGAGATGTCTAACTACTGATAAGCAACATTTATGTGGTTAAACCTCTGCATACTTCTCCATAAATGGCCCAATCAATACTTCAACCACTCACATCTAAACGACTCTCTGCATCACAAAAGAAAGTCATATACATGTTAGTACAGTATCAATTTTGGAGCTGTGAATCCAAATATTATATGAAATATACACATGACCACGACATACAAAAATAATTCAGACATACTACTACTGCATCAGTTGAGATGAGTGACATGAATAAAATTCCTACCATATTCATCATTGACCGCATTTCAAGTCCATGAGATATATGCATGTTTACGCTGCATTTTTTGTTCGTTGGTTTCAATGCTTGTCTAAAACATGAATACAAGATGTCTTGAACAGTTGAACCAAAACATCCGTTTTGATTTTTGAAAGCTGTAAAATACGTAGACACCATCGTCTACCTCAGATGCACACAGCAGACTTTTGTAAGCAGGCAGCGGTTTGAAAATACACAAACACAGCAGCAGATGGCAGGTGCATGATAATCGTGCCACTCAAATCTCAACGAAGGCCGACAATGAATGAATATAAAAATGGCATATAATTCAGTTTTTGATACCCTTTTAATCATTTCAAAACGTTGTGTTGAATTTACAAGTACTCACCTCAGCAGGGACCAGCTCCACGGCTGATCAGAGAACACATCATTGACATATTTAGGTTTTCTTCCGCAGGTGATGAATGTAAATTGTCAAAGAACGAAATCTCGAGCACCACTCGAGATTTTTCGAGAAGTAGAGGCACTGATGGTAAATAGAGATACACTCTAGCGTTTGTTGGGATATATTATTTCTTCTCTTCGATTGAATGTTTGTCTATTTGCGTGTAAGGAAGACAAGAATACGTTCTGATATTCATAAAATCTTGATGCACTAACAGTCAAACGCCTCGGCAATACATTGTTAGGACAAGTGTTTCGTCTAAGTTCCAAAATTTGGACTGCCGCTGTCTGTCTGCTCTGTGTGTATCGTTCAAAGCTACGCCTAGAAGAAGTATGGATGATTCAGAGCCAGACCTAGGTAAAGTAGTGATAATATGAAGAGTAATTCAAAACCGTTATGTAATATTTCCCAGATTTATTATAACGGCATACATGTAAGGTTTAGATTTGTTTTTT